GTAAGAAGAAGGGCTTAATTGCTTTGATCCCCGAGTTCGAGGGCTTATATGCATCAATTACAGTCTAGGGGCTTAATAGCGATTCTGGGGTTGGTTCAGGGGCTTAACTTATGGTTTTGCCATTAAAATTCCGCCTGTCCTTTCCTGTCCCCTTCAATTTTCAACTCTCTTTAGCTCTCTCTACTTTGTTCTTCTCTTCTTCCTCTTCCCTAATTTTTTAAATCTAAACCACTAACTCTCGGAATCATTTCGCAATTTCTCAATCACAAAAGTAATTTTCAAATTAAGAATGATCTTGTTAAGCAAGAAATCTTCGCCTTTAGAATTACTCAAAAAAATTGTGGATTAAGATTTTAATTTCTAAATTGATTTTTTGACAAAATACCTACCTAATGATCTAAATCTTTTGGTCTTATTGTTTCTTTAATCTTTTAAAATTATCATTCTAAGGAAGAGATACTCTGAATGTATTGAGAAAAAAAAAATAAAGACTCAACACTAGTTAAGAAGTATCCTTGTTGTGCTTTTTTACTTGAAAAATTCCTTTTGATAAATACATAAAAAAGAGGAGATTATCCTATTAATAGTTATTATAAAAATGAAAAGACGAGAAAAACGTCTTTATCTTTGCTTTCTACATTTTAATTCCTTGACTTATTTTTTACTTTGGGTTAAATATCAATTTAGTCCATTGACATTTCGATTTATATCAAATTTATCCTTAAACTTGAAAAAAATTAAAATTGCGTTTAAACTTTAAATTTTTATACTAGTTTAGTTTTTCCATCAACAAAAGTGATGGTTGACACATTGAGTTGTCATTAAATCAATTATTTTTTAAAATAAAAATGATGTGTAAAATAAAACATATATTTTTTATTACTGTAACATTTTTTCACAGTTCACATCAGATATATATATATGGAAAAAGTGCCTGTCAGCCTTACTCCCTAAAGATTATGAGGAAAATTATCTCAAAAATACGTCGTTTCAATAAACTTTTATTGAAAAAGACTAAACTACCTTATTTTTAAAGCATGCATTAAGGTGATATTTGTCATTTTTCCTCTTAATTTTTTGGAGGTAAGGCGGACAAGCACCAACCCCTATATATATTGTCCATTTTAGCTTTTCTTTTTAATGGGACTCACATTAATTTTTTTTTTTTCTCTTTAATTCTCCATACGTGACAATTTTCTCCCTTTCCTTTTTCTTATTAGATTGCAAACCCCAAAATTTGCCATATCTGTAATTTGTTGAAGCATATATCACGATTGAATCTAAAGGTCTCCTATATTTTCTTTCCCAACTTCTCTCCCCTCTTTCTCGTACCTCTCCTCTCCTTTCTCCCTCCATTCTTTCCCTCTCCCCTTTGTCTTTCCTTCTCTTTTCCCAAAGCAATGAACCCAAATGTTTGGGTTCTCATCATGCGGTTGCCCAAATTTGGTGGGTTCTCATTGCTATGCGAACAACAATGTCTTGATTTTGGGTTCTCATGATCAATTCTCACCATTTTTCCTTCTCTTTTACCCTGTATTCTTGTTTCTTGTTTTTATGGTGCTGTTCGATGCATAAATTGGGGATTAGATTGAGTACTAACATGGACTTTGCTATTAGGATTTTCCAGTGACATATGGATCTTTGTTTTTGTGAATGAATTGGTAAGGTTCAATTAATTTTTATTACTGAGTTTCTTTGCTTTTTGGGCAATGGTTCTAGCAATGAAGAGGATGACGATTGAGTTTTTCTAATTTTATCTTTAATTTAATCAAACTTAATTACATGTTAATTAATTATTTAAATACTATTGGTTTATTTTAAATTAAAAAATAAAAATTATCTTTTTAATTTAAAATTAAATATTTTTTTTAAAAAGTACTATAATTATTTTTCAATCATTATTTCTTATCTTGTACTTTAAAGGTATAAGATAGATAAATCCTTTAAAAATTTTTCTACCGCAATTTTTAATTTCCATGTCATATTTTAAAATTGAAAATGTAGAGCTTTTAACAAAATAATAGTGTCCACATCAGCATTTAACCAATGGAAGGATGAAAATGGTTCCAGAAATTCAGGTTCAAGAATCATTATGATATTTTTCATAGTTTAAGGAAATTTTGGAAATAAAATTAAAAGTTTAGGACCATATTGATATTTAAATTAGAAAAATCCTTTTTTCCTTTTGGTCTACAATGAATCGGGAGATGTCGTTTGTGTTTGAAAACACGTATTTACATTTCATTAAGGTTATAAAATGTAAACCTTTATAAAATGTAAATATGTGTTTTCCAAACACACCCTTAATGAAAAGGGGCGGAACGTGTGAGTTGTTTTGACAATGAATCGATGTCTAATCGATGCCTTTAGGAAATGAAAATTTGTGCTTCGTCTTTAATTTCCACGTCATCCGACACATTCTCCATTCATTCTCAAGGAAAAATTCTGCTGTCTTCAGGCCGATACCACTTACGTGGTATCCTCAATTAATCATAGCATGTCACGTCAGTATTTTATTGTTGAGTTGAGTGAGCTGACATGGCTAATAAGATAAAGAATTTTTTATGACATGACATGCTGTGATTGGCCGGGATACTGTGATTGGCGGGGGGATTTCATTACCAGCTGTATTCCCAGGATACAGCATACTTTTTCCATTCTCCCAAGACAATTCACACGTTCCCCCGCCTTTACATTTCCCTGACCTTCCCCTTCCCCTTCTTTCCACCTCCAATGCCCAACTGCCTTTACAGTTTACCCTGTGTTCCAACAGCTTGGTATTTCTTGTGGACTACAGTTTCATTCTCCTTCTATAATAACCCATCGCAGCCATGATCTTTCCAATTGGAATCCTTCTCATTCAAATAACCCTGCTATTCTCGAATCTCGTCGCCGGCAATGCAACATTGCCGAATACAGAATGTGTGGCGGAGCTAGCGGCGGAGTTTGTGGCTTGTCTTCCGGTCATTGCTGCCCCTCCAAACAACTTCAGCGTCACATTTTCTCCTAAATCCTCCGATGTCACAACTTTTGTGTTTACGCCAACCGGAAACGGCAGTTACTGCCTCGACCCCCTCGTTCAGCATCCTCCGATCTTGGGTTTCCCTCTGAACGTCTCTAGGATTAATTTACTTCCGTCCGTCTGTTTGGGTGATACCACGTGTTCACTGGAGACTACCACAGGTTCTGGTTCTTGATCCTTGAATATCTCTTTTACTCAAATTCAAGATATCTTACTTTAATTGTGATTTTTGATTTTTGATTGAAGAGTAAATACAAAGGCAGTGAAGCCAAATTCTTTTAGATTGGAATCAGATTGAACCCGTGGTTTGGGTAGTGAAGTTTTCTTTTTTGATTGGGAATTGAACCATATCTCTGTCTGATCAAATTGAACCCGCCGTTTGGGTAGTGAAGTTGTGTTTTGATTGGGAATAGAACCATATCGTCTGCCTGATCAAAATTCAATCAAAATTTAGGATTTTTTCACTAATGGGTTTGCTTTTTTGGCCAATTAAAAAAAATCAAAGCACAAAAACAATAACTCTCGTCCTACAAAGTGAAAGAGACTAGCAGAAACTAGAAAGAAAACAGAGGAATGGACACCACATAGCATATGTTTCTGTATCT